TTTCCCCCACATTATCCCTAATGATCTTCTTAACTCCATTCAGAAGTCCCATACAAACGATTATGGTCCTGATTTTTGTTGTAAATCCTAAAACCCCCCATCAGAATCTCCACCCTTGTCCAGAGGTATTCCCCAATCTTCTCCTGAACAACTCCTCTATCTTATTCCATACTACCGTTGAAAAACTAGGTGTTACTTTTGATTAAACCCTCTCCTGGAAACCACACATCTCCCAAATTTCTCTTCGCAATCTCCTCCCAAAAACAGTTCATCTCCTTCCTTCCATATAAGTCCGTCAACTCCTAGTTACCTCCCTTGTTTTCCCCCACTTCGACTATGGCTGTATGGTGTACGGTGGACTCTCGGAAGATTGTGAAGCCAAACTTAAACGCCTAATGACTTTCCAATTACGTTTTATTTTCGGGTTCTCAAGAGATGCTCCAGTATTACACCGTGTTGAAGTGGCTCTATCCATCCTATCACCGTAGGTAATTCCTAGCTACCTTTCTGTACCAAATCCTTAGAACTCATCTAGCCTCCTATTTTTTCACAGCTTACAATTTAAATACTTCAACCAATCCCGTCCCACTAGATCTGATACTCCGGCCTCTATCCTCCCCCTCACCAAACTGCTGTGTTTGACAAATCCTTTGCAATTCAAGCCGTCTCCCTCGGGGATTCCATCCCTGCTGATATTAGACACACACAATCTGTTTCCTCTTTCAAACCTCTCCTCTTTAAAGACCTAGTTTTTTCTATTATATTCTAGTTTTTTCTATTATTCTGTTATATTTCGTAATCCATCTGATTACGAAATATAACAGTCACAGAATAATAAAGTATAATTTCCATTTTATCTCACTCATATATAAGAACATTCAGTGCCCTTGAAAAGTACTAATTTAGTGGCTAAACATTTGTCTGTTTATGTTTTGTTGGATATTGAATTTGAATTGAAGTCATTAGGTCGAAGATAAATGCATTAAAAGCAAAATAATAAAATATTAATTTTTACTTTATCTTAAATAATACTTATATCTTAAATAATAAATTATATTGTATACAATGTAAAATATTGTATACAATATAAAATATTGTATTTATTCAAATGTTAACAATATTTTGAAACGGTTCTGTTAAAATTCTAATTGACTTTAAAGTCGTTCTAATCAATGACCAAATGGTAATCTGAAACGAAGGACTGTATTTAAAATATTAATAATTTACCGAAGTAATTTAAAAATTTTGTGTAAAATAAATAAATTACATTTATGAAATAATAAATGAATTACATTTCTTACAATGGAAAATGTCATGTAGCCGACAGGCAAGGAAGGGAGGAATAAATAAATAATTGACTATCATAAGTTATTACCCTCCATTTTAAGCTATACATTTAAGCGTTCTTTGTTATTCACCATCATCTTCTACGATTTATTTACTTAATATAATATTCTCTAAAATCTTAATCTTTCCGCCCATACAGATAGACACTGTCATATTAAAGATGCTTTTTATCTTTTCTGGTTTCGATTTGGCATATAAGTGCCATACAAAATAAGAACAAATCTTTATCGTTTAAAAGTGTTAAAAGTTATGAATAAATACAGACAGATTATAAGCGATTTAGAACTAAAATAAAGCACCTTATTGCAGTCTAATCTATTACCGATATCCACAATTTGCTAAGCTTATATTACGAATGTTGGCGTTCGCACAGGATATATTATTTTAAAATTTTGGTAATATTTGCTTCAGCTGATTTATAGTTATGCATAGGTTTTCATCAATCATAAAAAAAAGTATTTAAATAAGTATTTAGGACAATTTGTTTTGCTGGTTAGTCATACCTTGTCGAGGGTAGGGGCTTGCCAGTGTGCCAGTCAAACAAAAATATTTGTTCTACTGGCATGTGCCAGTTGACTGGCAGACCAGTCTCTCTCTCGTGAACTATTTACTACCTGCCTCGCTATTTCTAATAGAGGGGGGTTTTGTATACGGCTGTTCAAGTGGTACAACCAACCTATTCTAATTGCATTGGAGCTAAACGCACCAAAAAAAAAAGAAAAAAAAGAAAAAAGAAATTTAATTTAATTACAAGTTTAAATGGTAAAGTATGTTTGGTGGTAAGAGAAATGTTAAATATTTTTTCTTACTTTTTATTAATTTGTTTTTCTAGTTCTTGTTGCAACGTCAATTAGTGTTATATCAATACAAATGAGGCCATTGATTAACTTGAAACGAAATTCCCCGCAACCTCAGTATTTTTAAACTCATATAAACATACTCTACTTGTGTATTTAATATAACACGTTAGCTGCAGAGAATGATATCTCTTAAATGTGTTTTCCGACAATATCGGTCATCGGCGACCGACACTATTTATGAAGTTCCGAACGGCATCAGACGCCGGAGGAGGCATACATAAGTTTCGCGGTATACCGCTGTCTTTTAAAAGAAAAGGTGAAATAAATTCCCTATTCGGAGTCTCTATCTGTTGATTGTGTTCTCATTAATGGCCAGCAATCGTAGGAGTGAGTGGACTCCAACGTCCGAGGCCGTTTATCATTATTTCATTAAAAAAGTGTCATTTTTAGGGACATAAATCTTAAATATTGAAAATAAAATGAGAAATAGTTTATTTATTACATATAATTATAGTTTTTATGATATAATTTCTACATTATTCGTGTAATAGCTTTTTAAATGTAAAGATAAAAATGGAATATAAAAAAAAAACGAAGTTTCCAAATAAGTACCATATTCTGGAAATGCAACAAAAGTATAGGTATTTGGGTATTCACTATTACATTGGAATTTATTTTAAGAAAAGGAAAAATTAAAGTGAAGTATTAAGTTGCTAACTGCTTGTGATACTAGTTATTTGCCTCATTACTTCCTAGGATCTTTCTCAGTTCTTATTAGCATTCTCTGCTATGAAGGCTTAATAAAAGAATGGACACAACCCAGACGTGGTAACGATGTTTGGTGCTGAGTTCATCAGCGAGAACAGATAAGAATTTTCTAATTGATATGGGTTTTTCTTTTTTCATATTAAAGATAATCCATGAATTGACCTCTAACGTTCCAAACATTATCTCAATCACCATGCGTGAGCACTGTTCTGTCACGTCAGGAATATGTATCGGATGTCGGGGGATGATGCCGTGCGGAAATCATATTTAATCAGTCTCGAGCGGTATCGGTCCCAGGCGTCCTACACCTTCATATCGTATATAATGATTATTTACGTTAGCATCTTTACATCTATCCGGCTCCCATTCAAATATTTCTAAAAACTACAATTTTATAGGCTTGGTAAGATTCGAAACAATCCCGGCCACTTGGCAGTCTAGACGAATATCGGAATCCGGGGACCTTAACCGTAGTAATAAGTATAGTTAGCGAAAGTCTATTATATATAGCATACTTAAAGCATAATTTTGAACCATAATGAATAAGATGAAAGCACTAGAATCAAATGAAATCATACTACATTATTAAGTCATTAAGGTGTTTTTTTCTATACATTTAATTACAGTTTTTCTTAACAAGCAGATATCTCGTTTTAATAAAAAATAAATAAAATAAAAATTAAAAAAAAGAGAATCATTTGGTTTCTTTCTACTTAATATTTCAATAATAATTATAGTTATTATTATAACACAATATTACTACAGCTTGAGCCAAAATCTAATATTATATATTTTACCATCACTTAAATATTTATATAAAAATATTAAAACTTCTAAACTGGGCTGAGATGGGAAGACATTTTTTAAATTCACATTCAAATAATATAAATTTGAAATATGTATATATATATATATTATATATATATATATATATATATATATATATATATATATATATATATATATATATATATTTATATATATTTATTTATTTACATTATAGTCTATATTATAGTTTGTGCCACGGACTATAAGTTTGTATAAATTTTTATCAAACTAAAAAAAAATATATTAAAATAATGATTTGTTTTGCTGGTTAGTCATATCTAGTTCCAAGTAGGCGCTTGCCAGTGCGCCAGTCAATCAAAATTTTCTTGCTAGTGCCTCGCTGGCCTCTCCAGTGACTGGCATGAACCGTTTACACGTTGCCAGTCGCTGGCATTGAGTGACTGGCGACCTCGACTGGCAAGCCAACTGGCATCGTGTAAATGAGCCTTTAGAATATTATACAGTTTCTGGCGGTCAATAGAATCGTAAGCCTTTTTAAAATCTATATACAGCTGGTGAACATTACCGTTGTACTCCAATTTTTTCTCTAATATTTGCCGTAAAGAAAATATTTGATCAATAGTTGAACGATTCCGTCTAAATCCGCATTGGTAGTCTCCGATAATTTCCTCGGCGTATTCCGTGATTCGACTGGTTAAGATTAAAGTGAATATTTTATAACATACCGGAAGGAGTGAAATTCCTCGATAGTTATTACAATCCGTCCTCGGGCCCTTTTTGTGTATTGGAATAAGAATAGATTCTTTCCATTCCTCAGGTAATTTCTCATTCACCCAGACATTTTTAACCAACCGATGTATTTTAGAAACTCCAGCTTCCCCGCATGCCTTAATTAGTTCAGTTGAAATATTATCGGTTCCCGCTGCTTTATAAGATTTTAATTTTCCGATAGCTACTTCAACTTCCTCTTTACTTGGTCCTTCTATTAACGGTTCAGCACTCGCATTTATTAGCAATAATAATAATATTCCAAGTGAAAAGCTACCAATCTCAATAAAATAAGGTCATAATGCCAACATATCGGCATATTGGCCTTAGTTATCGTTCGATCGCTAATCAATATACATAGTTACTCAGATATAATATGTATAGTTACTCCGAGACCCCCCTGGGGGATCATCGCACTAGTATATATTGTCGACACCATATTAAAGTAACGAATGTGAGCCTGTTTAACGTTGCACATTCGTTAATTTAACACGTTGCCGACGGTGTATAATCAAACAAACTAGAAAACCTTTAATAATATATATTTACACTAATAAACAACTATTATAATCAAATACAAGCTTATTATATTTAGGAGGTTATTTCTCATGGTTCGCCAGTGGTTTTTGCATTACCAAACAACCGGATCCCTACAACATGTTTAACATAAAAGTTATTCTTTGGTTAAGTGGATGTCCAACTTAGTTAAGGCTTTATCATAGGTCATAGAGAGTTTCAATTAAAATAATAAAAAGACCTAATGTTTTGAAAGACTAAGAACATAACTCTGTAGTAGCTAACCGAATCTTTATTAAAAAAAAATTATAATGTTATACGTTTGTGCAATATTTTTTTTGACACTTTGTTTAGGAAAATATCAAATTAATTTTCTTTATTTCATTTAATGATTTCAGCCATCTCCAATTTTCTTAGAGTTTCAACTTCTATGAATTTATAGATTGTGAGCATTCATGTATTTTTAATATTACGTAAAATATTACTTATAGTAAGAGTATCTTGCAGAAATGGTTAAAGCTAGTGTCGAATGGTTCGGTAATCAGGAAAAATACAATAGCCCACCATATAATTCATTACAAATTTTGAACCATAGAAACCATATAAGTGAAATTTTCTCCTTAAGCTTATCAGCTATTTAAGGAAATGGATGTCATTCACTTAATGAAAATTTAGCATCCTATTGGTACATTATGGAAAATTAACTACACAAATCACATTCCTTTTGCTTACAAGGAATTAATAATATGCAATTTATAACTAAAGGAGATGTAATTCTGAAATCCTTTTAAAATAACTACAGTTAGCAACATTTTGTTTTATGAAAACTAACATATCTATTTGCTGTCATTTAGTTTATTAATTCTTATCCACAGTCCGTTTATAGGTTTGAAAGAAAAAACTCTTGGCTGAAGCTTAATGTCATCCCCATTCTCATGCCTAGGACTTAATTCCAACTTGTATTTTTCTAATGTTCTTGCCATATTACAAAGCATGACAACTTCAGCAAATCGTTCACCTGTAACAACACAAGAAAAGATAAACGAGAAAAAATGTACAAATAGAAATACTTATTTCTAAATAATAATTAAAATTTGACTAAGGGATTATATGATGTTGGCTCCTGAAGGTTTTTATTTTGTAGCCCTGAAGATGGGTCAAATGTTGTACAGTCCTTTAGAAAACTGAACTTGATGTTTTGTTTACCTATGCACTTTCTTGGTCCATCTCCAAAAGGCAGGTAGGTTCCACTGGCTGGCTTAATTTCAAACCTTTCTGGTTTATATTTCATAGGTTCCGGAAAATTTTTGGGGTCTAGATGTATGGACTTAATAGGCACTATTACGGTTACTCCTTTTTCAATGACGGTTCCATCAGGTAAAGTGCAATCTTTCATACATTCTCTGATTACTCCTGGTACTGCTGGATACAACCTCATTGACTCTGAAAATGATCGTAATGCATAAATTTGACAGAATAGTTGGAAATAAACAAAAAAGAAATAACTGTATTTTTCAGATCATATTTTAATATGTCTATGGTATTTTAAAATAATATTTCCTCGAAGAAGTGCTACATGATACTCATATAGGGAAGAATAAGAATACCTAGTACATTTTCTACCACGTACAGCAAAAATTTGTACTCAAAAGAAAAAAAATTAAGGTGTGTGCTTTAGACCACGTGCTAGAAGTGAAAATATCAAGGTAAAATTAATAATATGGAATATAAATATAAATAATAGCTCATTATGAAGAAGATGAAATGCTGTACATTTCTCTCGGTTACTGTATGGAGTTCCGATTCGCAATTTTTTCCTTTTCGCCTCTCTAACAGGGCGTTTCGTAAAGATACAATTTTGAATAATAGCTCATTAAAAAGAGGATGAAATGATGAACATCTCTATCGCTAATAATATACAGGTCCGACATTTAGTTTTTGAGATATTTTAATCCATATTCAAAAACACTTCAATTAGTCGACTTCAGCTGACTACCCGAGTATTACACATCTGAGATCTGACGGCTCAATCTAATTCACTCTCCACAAAAAAATGCGAAACGCGCCCAAAGAAGTTTTCACTTCAAAAATCTGATGCGCGTGTCACACAGTTTTAGATTATGAGTTAGACTGTCACTCAACGCTGAAAGACACGAGGAGAAGGTTAAAGAAGAAGAAGGTTAGAATGACATCTTCAATGAAATAGACTGACCAAGCATAAATTTCGAATTTTGATAATGGCTTTCGCTAAACTATCTATGATTCTGTTTACTGTATTGAACATCTCTCATTGTTAGAAGTAGTAAAATGGACTATACACACACAGAAGTGCCTAGGAGGTGGTTTCATGGGTTCCATCAAAATTTTTGAGAGGAGTATATTTTGACGAATTTTAGAATTTTTGATGGGTGCATATTTCGACGGAGTTATGAATTCTCAGACTAAAGGACAAGGGGAAAAACATGGAACATAAGGCAGCAAGTGTAATTGTATATGATTTATGAGTTTTCTAATTCTACCATAGCTTGCTCTGTTAAGAAAATGTGAGCAATAAAATATCTTGGGAGGAGGGGAAAGGGGTAGGTTTTTGCGCCATCGATCTTGGGGGAGATGGGCACCCCTGGTAAAAGATATTTTACCTCAGAGGGAGAGAGATTAATTAGGGTGGCTGAACCTACAAGGAATGTGGGAAGGGTGAACAGATGAATTCTAAATTTACAGTGTGGCTGAGATGGAATCCCGAATTTGAGGATATATTTTATAATGAGGGGGATTCGATACCCGCGACCGCAAAATCACGCACGAGATAGTGTTAAAAGAAGATAAGGTGACGTATACAAAAGGTCGTAGGTACCCGCAGGCCATGGTAGCGGTCATAGAATCTCAAATACGTGATCTCTTAAATCAAGGAATTATTAGACGTAGCATGTCACCATTGAATAGCCCGTTATGGGTAGTAGAAAAAAAGAGGCAGGATTTGCAAGCAGATCCTTCATACCGTTTTGTGATAGACTACAGAAAACTGAACGAGAATATTGTAGAAGAATGAAAGTCCTCTTCCTAGACTGGATGACATGCTGGAGCGCGGTTTTTTCAACCCTGGACTTAAAGTCTGGGTATCATCAGGTACAGATGAAGGAACAGGACATAGCGAAGACAGCGTTTACATTTAGCCGTGTGAACTACGAGTTCACGAGAATGCCATTTGGGCTTAAAAATGCTCCATTAACGTTCCAAAGGTTATTTCAGAACTCGGAGTCAAACCGAACCCATCTAGAATTGACGCAATCTCCAGGGTACAGCCACCCAGTAACCAATAGGAGCTCAAAATTTTTCTAGGAATGGTCAGTTATTATAGAAAATGTTTACCTAACGCGGCCGAAATAATTGCACCTCTAACTGAGCTATGAAAGAAGGGTAGACCATTTCTTCTTACAGATAAACATCTGCAATATTTTCAGAAGTGTAATACGGCGCTTAAACAAGAGCCAGTTTTGGCTTTCCCAGACTTTCAAAAAACATTTATTGTCACCACCGATGCAAGTGAGAAAGCACTAGGGGCGGTACTATCTCAGGAGACGGTTTGTGGTGATAGACCAGTCGCTTTTGCTAGCAGACAGTTGTCGGGCGCAGAGTCACGTTATAGCGCTCTGGAACGTGAACGTTAGCCGTTGTGTGACCGATAGATCATTTCCGTCCCTATTTGTTTGGAAGACGGTTCACAATTCGCAGAGATCATAAGCCGTTACTGTAGACAAGTGGGCTTAAGGAATCATCAGCACGGGTAGGGCGGTGGAAGGAAAAATTGCGGTCCTACACCTTCGATACCGACGGTATCATAACGTGCACCGGAAAGGCTCACTAAACGTCGTCGCTGATTGGCTGTCCAGGGCTCTGTATGTTAACCCCATACTAGAAACAGGTCCTTCTAGGGTACGTCCATGGGAAAATATATCGACGGAAGAGGAGGTCACAGTGGACGGAAATGAAGTCCCCGTAAGTATAAAACCCTCGACTCTCATTGAAACAGACGTAGTTGTGAATCATCATTCACGTAAAAGCATTTGGAAGACACATACAGCGGGTGTACCCAAAACAGAGCATAGTAAATACGGACGGCACAACATCACAACGATATCGACAGTCCCCTCGATATCAGCAGAAAATATTACGCGCATTTTGCTAGATGTCACGCGTTGCGGCAAAACATATTACCTTTTTATTGGCAATAAAACTGTCCGAGAACGCGTCAAACATTTGTGGAGTACCGAACAGATCGGGGCAGATCGCAACTTCGTGTTATATTCTCACATGGTAGAGACCGTCATGGAGCCGGAGCGACAGAATGACCTCATTAAAGCGTACCACGAAGGCAAAACTAATCATAGAGGAGTACCCGAAACTCTTGCGGCACTAAAACGCCGATATTATTGGCATCATATGCGTAGGACAACCCGCGAAAACATTCGGACATGTACGGTCTGCCATCAGGCCAAATATGAACGGCATCCCATCATCGTTCAACCAGAGGTTACTCGTACCCCTAACTCACCATTGTTGGAAGTACAAGTTGACATTTTCACATGGGAAGGACTGCATTGACTCACGATAATAGATAAATTTAGTAAGCTAGCGATGGCACACTCCTTACCGAGCAAAACTGCAACCAAAATGCAGTTTGGGAGGGCATGTTTACCTGGATATCCTGCTACGGGATACCCCACAAGATTACATCGGATGGTGGAAGGGAGTTTAAGAACGCTCGAATCGTCTCCAGCTTTGGTTGTCAGGTTTTCGGGCAACGCGCAGTGCTGTTCACACTCGTTAGTCCGCTCGGCCACCCCGCCCCTAAAAATTAATCATTTGCCAGGACCGGAGCAAGATAAGAAAACAAAACAAAAAACGCGATTTCATGAATATAAATTAAGACTAAATGGTTACTAATACTGGCCCATGTTAGTTACTATAATGAAACTTCTCTTCACAAAAAGCGGACACTCACGGAGAATCAATCATTGCCCGCTGTAGAGAGATGTCCGTTTTAGAAACATTGGAAGAAAAACATGTTAAAAAAATAAGAATTAGAAAACCTAAATTGTATTTTAAAATTTATATCGTGGAAATAAAATCTTTATTCGATTTAATACATTTTTCTTTTTAAATTTACAATTTAAAAATATGGCAACAACGCCATAACTCGGAAGGAATTATTTCTTTGCATTGACATTTCTGTTTTTGGCCCGCTGTTCTCAGTACTCGTTATTTCTTTAAAATGTCTTAATCTAATTGTTAATCGAAGTTTTAATCTAGTGGCTAAATTGCGAATACTGAACTTTCTGATACACTCATTAATAAAACGACTTTTTCTTTTAAATTTAACCGGAACTATGTTGATATATAACAATAAAATCTGTGTGAATGACAATAAAGGATCAAGACTCTAAATTCTATTTCAAAACCGGATTCCTTGATATAAATAATGGACTAAACAAGTAACATTAATATTTAGAGGAGGCAAGGCTCCCCTCTGCCCTCCTTTGCGTATACCTATGGCATGAATTCATTCTTATTTTGTTATAAAATATTTTTTCCTTTTAAATGTGAATTTCATCTAAAATGCGAGAGCGTCCTCAAAAGGGGTCACATTATTTTAAAATATACGGTTTTAAAACATCATAATTTATTAATGTTGTTGTATTCTATGAGTTGGAAAACCTTACGTTTAAGGTATTATTTATTTATTACAATATATATATTAGTTATTTATATGTACATTGTTATTTTGATAGATTTTCTATTAGTGAGTTTCTATTTATTGTGAATGTTAATATATTTATTGTATCATTATAACCTACTTAATAATTATATAAAATTAATAAATATAACTTACTAAATACTTATCTACAATAAATATATTAACAATCGATTTTTCATTAGCGAAAACTCTGCCTTTACGTTAAAATTGAAGATTAAGCCGTTCAATGGGAAGATTTCAATGGCATCTATTTCTCTCTGTTCTAGAACGTGTGGCCAATGTGTAGTTGACTTTAGCGTGTTAGGTCACTATTATAAAGATGTCAGACTGTCTTTCCTTCCTGATCTGTGCGCTGACGTGGTCATTGGTCATGATATACTCAAGCAGCACGGAAGTGTGAACCTGTCCTTTGGCGACCCCAAAGCAATGCTCACTGTATGTGGTCCCCCTGTAGCAAATGTTCCACCCGCGTCACTCTTTGAATATCTTTCACCGGATTGTAAACCAATAGCGATAAAATCACGTCAACAAACTAAAACTGATTCACAATTTATAGAAATTGAGATCGAACGCCTCCTAACCGACAAGGAAATTGAACCGAGTATATCTCCTTGGAGAGCTCAAGTACTAGTTACCTCAAGTAGCAATCATAAAAGACGCATGGTGATTTATTACTCTCGCACTATAA